GTCCATTAAAAACAAAAAACAAAAAACAAAAAAATAAATAAAAAATAAACAAGATATTGAAAGGTATATGAAATAACAAATAATTTAATCAAAAATTTAAACATTTAAAATTTCTGCTATACATAAAGCATCAATGCTTTATGACACGTATGTGTCAATTAAGATGCCATATCTTTCTTTTTTGCAAATACCCTTTTTGCTCTGGAAAATATCTCTCCACGTTTTTCTTTCGTTTCATTTTCAATCTCGTTTGCCATGCGGTCATATTCTTCAAATGAAACTCCCAGATAAGGCGCAAACAATTCTTTCATTAATTTTATATAGTTCAAAGCAGCTTCGCGAGCAAACTCTCCATAACCATCACCTCCAAGCGGAAGTTTTACTGTTTGAGATGATATAAATTCGGCCTTTCCAGTCATTTTAAGATAATCTTCTAAGCGTGTTATTAGATCAATATCAATTCCACGTTCTTTGTACCACGAAACACCTAAAGGATTATGAATGAATTGAGATGGCATTTCTAAATGATTTTCAAATAAATAAACATACGTGCAGCATCCATTCGTCTAAAGGTTGGCCCACGAGCATCATCATCAACACGAAGTGAATGTACAATCTAATATTAATAGATTTCAATTGTGAATATAAAATCTCAAAGTTGTTAAAAAATAAGCACCTTTTCTTACCTCAAACCAACCTCCTGGCTTTAATACTCTAAAGACCTCAAATAAAAATCCTTGAAAATTATTATTTGTAAAGAAATCTGTTTTATTTCTGGAAAAAACATAATCAAATTCATTATCAGGAAATGGTAACACCTGATGAATGTCACAACTAATAAATGTAACATTGTTATCATTGGAATTTTGTGTGGTAAAATCAATTGCGTAGAACTTCGAGTTTGGATACTCTGCAGCAACCTAATAATTTAATATAAATTTAAGCATTATCGATACCAAAAGCTACTGTTGGGTTTGAAAACGGCGAGTCTGTCGCTAGAAGACCAGAATTCTCGCGCTACGTCAATTTCAAGGCTTGAA